AATTTCCAATTGGAACTAAATGATTTCAAATTTATTCCAAAATTTAAAATTTGAAATTTTAATTTCAGTTTAATTTGTTACGTGGTAATCATGAATCAGCATTTATCAATGTACATTATGGTTTTATCAAGAATTAATTGAACGTTATGGTGAAGAATTGGGCAATAAATTATGGGCAATGTTTAATGATATTTTTGATTTATTACCAATTGCTGCATTAATTCATAAACGTATTTTATGCATGCATGGTGGCTTAAGTCCATATTTAAATTCTTTGGATGATATAAGAAATGTTAGTGAAATTATCTTTTTATCAGTGAAATTATCTTTTCATTGGTAAAATTACCTTTTTATCAGTGAAATTGCCTAATTATCAGTAAAATTATCCTTTCATTAGTAAAATTACCTTTTTGTTAGTGAAATTATTTTTTTATCAATAAAATTATCTCTTCATTAGTAAAATCATCTTTTTATCAGTTGAATTATCTTTTTATCAATGAAATTGCTTTTTTATCAGTAAAGTTATCCTTTCATTAGTAAAATTATTTTCTTATCCGTGAAATTACCTTTTTATCCGTGAAATAATCTTTTTATCAGTGAAATTATCTCTTTATTAATGTGGCTATCCTTTTATCTTTTTTCTTTTTTATTAATACATTGTTGATGATAAATTTGTTTGAGTAAAAAAGGAAAGCGATAAACAGAGGTTGATTTAATCAGTTAATTGATTAGCTAATATACAGCTGTTAATTTCTTCAATTAATTAATTAATTAATTAGTTATTTTCAATTAAAAAGCAAATGAATTAATTACACATGCCTTCGATAAGATATGAAATATTTAATTTTCCATTAACTTATTTGGATCCATTTGTAAATATATGAATTATGCAAAATCAGGTAGCAACCTATGACCTTTCATTTTTCATTTATCTATTATATTTCATACATTATCAATATTATCAGTGCTAGAGGAAATTAAATTTTTTTTTTTTTTGCAGTATTGTAAATGTCATAGATAAATTTCAGTTTTAAATATTACAATGTAAATTAATCGGTTGGTTTAGATTAAACGACCGATCAAAGAAATGGAAGAATCACCGTTAGTATGTGATTTGCTATGGTCTGATCCGGTTATTGGTTTAACCGGTTTTGTTAAAAATGTTATTCGTGGTATTAGCATATGTTTCGGTGAAGATACGGTATTGAAAACATGTGAAAAATTAAATTTAGACATGATTGTTCGTGCACATCAGGTAAATATATATTATTATATAATATGATATGATATGATAATATCACAAAGTAATCATCGATTTTTTTTGCACTCAAAACTGTTTGTTCTATAATTATGCATCATCCAATTAGTCTATCAAACAACTAGATTTTAAATTTAATTTATTTCAAAAATTTAATGTAAATTAAAAAATGTTCGGAAACAGATATGAATATCGCATATATTATTAATTTATTATTAAAATTGTGATGATCATTCTAAAATCTTTGATAAATTTCGATATTTAAGTGAGCATAAATTTGAAATTCGGATACTTAAATAAGATGAATAAAAGTAATTAATTAATTGATACAAACATTTTTTTTCAATAAATTCATAGAGTAAAAACAATTGAGAATATTTTATTCATTAACTA